CTATAAATGCTTCACCCACGTACTACAAATACAAATAATCGCCAACAGAACCTAAACACCTAACCTAACCAATGCCTATATATGCACATTATGCTAATATAATATAATATTAATTTATACTTGAGAAAATTCCCGTTTTGAATGAACAGCATATTAAAATTTATGAATGCGTCTGTGGGGTCGACCGCTGGATGTAATGGACTTGAGTCGAGGACGGGTTGTCGAACCACAACGTTGTAAATCCTTCACCCACGTACTACAAATATAAATAATCGCCAACAGAACCTAAACACCTAATCTAATCTAACCAGTGCATAAATATACACAATATAATATATATAATAATATTAATTTATATTTGAGAAGAGTTCTGTTTTGAATGAACAGCATGTTAATAAGATTAATGAATGTGCCTTTGGGGTCGACCACTGGATGGAATGAACTTGGTTCGAGGACGGGTTGAATACTTCACCCACGTACAACAAATACAAATAATCGCATACAAAACCAAAACACCTAACCTAACCTATGCCTATATATGCCCAATAAGGTAATATATTATAATATTAATATATATTTGAGAAAATCTTGTTTTGAATGAACAGCATGTAACAATTTATGAATGTGTCTGTGGGGTCGACCGCTGGATGTAATGGACTTGAGTCGAGGACGGGTTGCACTACAGGCTGCCCAATAGCCCGTGCTACTTGGAACTTTCGAGGAGCTGAATCTAAAACAACAACATTATCATTCCTTAAGTGAGTTGGCTGCTGCATTAAATAGTGATCCACCAGCCTCATGGTGATCCATCAGCAAGACTTGGTAAGAGGAGAATCTTACCTTCATTAACACAACTTATGGAGGTCCCGGCAGCAAGAAGCAATACTGTCACAAGGACCTTGGGCCAGATTCACGAAAGCACTTACGCAAGCACTTACGAACGTGTACATCTTTCCTCAATCTTTGACAGCTTTGGTTACATTTATTAAACAGTTTACCAGCATGAAAACTTCCCAATTAACAGTTGTTATTGTTATAAACAGCCTCCTGGTGCTTCGGAGCTCATTAACTGTTTAATAATTGGAAACAAAGCCGCCAAAGATTGAGAAAAGATGTATAGGTTCGTAAATTCTTCCGTAAGTGCTTTCGTGAATCTGGGCCCCTTGTTTCCAGGTGGTTGGTGACATCAGCAAAATGCGGATGACATCAGCAATAAAGTGGCCGACAGGGAGAAACTGACTGACGTCACCTGTAAACAGGCTAGCTGATAATGGTGTACTGGAGGAAAGGGTGTGGGCCGCAGGGTCCCGCCCACACCCTGCCACCACTCTGCACGTAATCAAACCCAACCACGTCGCCCACACATCCTGGAAATGCACATAAACCGCGACTAGATACGACCGGGGTTCCAGGAAGCCCTCAACAAATCATAGTGTCGGGTGTTGGTTTAGGTTTCCACAGACACAGTTGAACTGTGTCGGAATAGCGGACACACCAGCCGGTATGTGCTCACCTCATGGTTCTCATTACGCATCCCGTGCTGATACTAGGTTAGGTGTGTGAAGTAAATTGTTGGATATTAGGTAATATAATGAGGACCCTTGGCCTCGGAAATGAAAACCGAGGAATTCAGACATCTCTTTAGTTTTATTAAGCTGCAGGAACCAGCAGCACATTTCTAACTGTTATTATGATGTTGAAACAACTTATGTGTAAATCATTGAGTGTAGTTAAAGTGTAACACATCCCTGTATAACTAGAGGAGTGTAACTTGTTTTTTCCTTTGTTCAAGTTTCAGACCTTCAAAAGTACAACAACATTGATATTTTCATAGTTCTTTATTTCTCTATTTTACTTAATTCATGGACGTTAGTGCTGTAGCACGCCATGAAATCTCAATAACGTAATTTATCTTGTGACGATAATCTCTTTCAAGAGAGATTGAGCCTGCTCTTCCCTACAAAGTACGTAAAAACAAAAGATAATATAGAAGATACGTCCAGCAAGTATCGCCAAACGTTTTGCCCAGAGAGCAAAACGTACCCAGCACACAGTGACACCTGCTAGCTACCGCCACCATAAATCAGCAAACTGCTTGTCCTTTGCCTGCCTGTCGCTGATTGGCTGGTGTCCCGTCGCACCTGCCCTCCGCCACAAGTTGATGTCTGGGCTGCAGTGGCCCAGTATTGTCAGAATATCTCAGTGCTCCTTGCAGTTGACATCTCTCGCTGGTAGACTAAGCCTTGGCTTTAGTGTACTAAGGGAGGTGGCAGCTCGAAGCCAATATTCCAGCTCCATTCATATTTATTTTGCTATCACTGTAACTCACTTGTCTTAACGTAACTTTTCATTTGGCAGTGATTATTCATATTATTTTGTTTGTTGACTTGTCTTTTATATTTTATGTGCTTAACTTTATTCATGTCTTGTTTTTCTAAAGTAATTAAAATTTCATTGTTAATTTACTTGTGTTTTGTGTGTCTTCCCATTACCTTACCACAGACGAAAGTTCCAGCTTTTCTCTTTTTTTTCTATAATGTGACGAGGCCCTGCCCCTAGCTTTTGAAACAGCCGAACACCAACGCTTTACCGTCACAATCTTATGAGAAAATCTTTGGGGCAGGGTAACAGGATCGAACTCGCGTCCTGGGAACTTTAGTCGGATAATCTTATTACCTTCAGCAGTGTGTACGGGGGAAGGAGGGTAACGTGTAATCATTAGAATTTGTGTACAACTCAATGTCTCAAACGCCTCGTAAGTCTGGGTGCACTTTAGGTTAACCTGGTCTTCAGTGCGTATTGGTGCGTTAGTCTGAAGTATTACTTCAGTATTGCAGGACGCGGGTTAGACTAAATCAGACTGCTCTGAGAGTGTCCTCTTAGCGCTGTGTTGTTAAATAATACTTTGACGCGAGAGATTTGTTGCATTTAGTAGCGTGAGGGTAGAAATAGCCTAAGCTACTCTATTATTTTTTTTAGAATTTTTTTTTATTATCTAAATAAACTTACTTGAACATGAACTTGTTGCATTTACAAGTGATACACTCTTATTTTGTATGTTGTTCACTAGCTACTAGATTGTTTTGTTCACAGGTATTTGATTATTTATTTAATACTCCATGTATTTGAAAGGAATCAATGGGGTTATAGTTAGCAAATCCTAACTAAGCATAAATTGGGCTGCATCCGTCAGTGATACAGTGTAATTTTGAAAGTGATTTCTTAGCTGTAGAAACTTATTTCAGTTTAGTAAATAGTGATTAATCAGGTCTTTATCAGTACATGATCGAGCAGGACTTTCGGGCGTAGTGTTGTGTCATTGTTAATAAGAATCCTAGGTGTAACCTAGTTAATACGATTTATTCCTAGTACTGAAAGAAAAACACTAAGCTTTACTCTCAAAATTGCTTAACTCACTCTCTAGAGGAACGTTGCAAATTTATCTGAAAGACTGGAGAAAGTAATATGTTGATTCGAGAACTGAAAGTGTTCATCACAATGACTATATACAGTTATGTAATTTTTTTAAAAGCACTGATTTAAACAGTATAAAAAAGTATTTTTAGATTAATTTCAATAGGCTTGGCCCTGCACATTGTTGAGACTAGCAACACCTCTTATTAGTTTATAGTTATGAATATGAACTTGACAATCATTTTCGGGAAATATTTATATATTTGTGTATACATTGAGTTTTGCTTACCAATTAATGTCAAATATTTATAACTTTTACGATTCTTTTCGCGGTGCCTTATTGTTGCCAAATAATGATGACGTATTTGAGACAAATACGGATTATTTCAGCTTACTTAACTACTAAGGCACTACGGGCACCATAGCCCGTGCTACTTGGAACTTTTTGTTCCAGGTAGCGAATCTTTAACAACAACAATTACTTAACTAGAAACTAAAATTTCAATAATTCCGAAGTGGAACTTTAGTTATATAGTAGACAAGCTACAAGTAACATTCCGGGTTTTCACTACCTTCACTAACGATAGGTTAAAAGCGACAAGAAAGGTCATTGAAAGCAATTTCAACCGCGCACCCTGACGGTCGAGCCATGACAGGAATATTTCACACACAAAAAGGAGAGACCTGACAGTATGACAAGGGTGGGAGAGACACTGTCACCACAAGGCTATATAAGGGAACGGAGGCGTGTCAAGCTATGTCAGAAGGAATGGAATATACCATTTTGGGGCTAGGAGGGCTGGCAAGGTAGAATAAGAGATAAAGATATTGTGAGGGCAAAACAGGGTTGAGGGCAGACCTTGTTTCTAGTGGGACAGGTCAGAGGTCCTGGACACTGAATAGATAAGTACCTGGTGAGTCGCATCCAACGGAAGAGGGAGCACAATGTGGAGAAAGGGAAGGGTTGAGTGTGGGATGGTGGGAGAGGGAGGGGCTGCAAGAGTGAAGGAAAGGGGTAGGAATCAGAGCGGATTCTAGGTGGGTCCAAATACCGCAGACTTGGAATATATGTGTGTGCCAAGAATATATATATATATGCTGCACGTGGACTGATGATTATATTAGTATATGATGATTATTATAATATGGACTGATGATCCTATCGCCAGACTTTTTATTAAAACAAAAATGAATGGACCAGCCTAGCGCGCTCTTATTGCTTAATGTTCTTTATCATTAAAAGTTTCTCGCCCGTTTGTGTAATTTATATTGGTGTTTCTTAAAACAAATACGAACTGCACCACAAACAGCTAAAACATGGCTATAATGTCATACAGGTTCTCAAAGATGCTGGTTCAGTGCTGCCATCTTTATCAACTCGCGCTCGAAATTTTAAATGAAAATGTATTTACTTTAGTAAGCACAGAATGATTTGCCGTCTCATCATACCAAACTATCAATAAACCCACAACTTCTATGAAGTAAAAAATTAATCTGTGACGCTAAGAGAGATCCTTAAAATTTTAAATGTAAAACAAAATAGACGGCAACTTACCGGGATACTCGGGTGGAAGAGACGCTAACTTGGCTAAGTCAGTACAGGCGGTGGAGCCCACTGGGACGGTCGGGGTGTGCGCGCTCTCCACACCTCCAATATCATATCTTGCACCATTTCAACGGTGGGCTCCCACATCCCCACTATACACCAGTGTTAAGCGACCATTTCTTTTGATGATAATATAAAATAAGCAACCTAGTCAGTATAAAAGCCGGCATTGTCCTCGGATTACAGAAGTAAATGTATTTAAAATGGTAATTTAGATTTTAGGAGGGGGGGGTGTGGCAGTCAAAGTGCTTCAGGAAGAGAAATTGAAACCAGAACATAGATTTCGCTATGTTGTGCAAGATGAAGTGGAAGACATTGCGGTAAACTTGAGTGTTGTATTGTGCAAGGTGTAGTAAGTACCTGCAAGCCGGCGCTGTAGTAGCTGAAGCAGCTCCTGAGTGAGGTGACGACGGAGGGTGGTCGCACGACGTCAGGAGCGATGGCTGACGAGGAGCAGCTGAGGATGAGCCACGCGGGACTGCTGGCCAGGAGCGCCGAGGGCCACGCCGCCAAGGGCATGAGGATCAAGGATCAGGAGGACATGTGGGTCGAGATCCAGCACCACACCTTCAGGAACTGGGTGAACGTCCAGCTGAGGGACACGGGCATCCGCGTGGAGAACCTCTCCGAGGACCTGTGCGACGGCTTGGCCCTGGTCACGCTGGTGGAAGTGCTGCAGAAGCGGCGGCTCCGGAAGGTGAAGCGGGTCTTGAACCAGCACCAGGCGCTGGAGAACGTCACCACCGCCCTCAACGCTATAGCTGACGACGGTATCAAGCTTGTTAACATAGGTAAGCATGTATTATTTTTGTTCGGGTTGTCTTAACTACAACGTTGCCTCTGATTGCCTAAACTTTCTAAACTTGAGCGTCTTGAAATATCCTCATACAGTTCATTCGCCCCCAAGAGATCACGGGGGAAAAAGAAAATATTACGAACGTGGCCGTCATGTTGAACTGAACGTCGTGACATTTACGAATAGTAAATTATTTCGTCTTGTGATAATGTGGCCGCCGCTAGGTACCGGGCGGTGAACCTAACGAGAGGAAATCCCTACTGGAAGACGTTTAAAATGACATACGCCATGTAGACCGCGTCAGTCTGAGTTAACCTTGAAACTGCGCTCTCGCTCTGACGTGACCTTGGAAGTGCGCACTTGCTGTGAATCCCGAAGGGGCCCACTGCTTAAATCGTAAAAGATAATAAATGTGTGCGCGCTCAAAATGATGAATTGTGAGGGTGCGCACACGTACAGTGAATCAGGAAGGTGCGCACATATTGTTTTTTCCCACAAAGATGCGCAGTCAGTCAGTTTTAACCCCAATAGTGCGCAAAGTGGCGCAGAAACCACTTGGGTGAACGCTCCATGTACTCTGGCTTGACCTTGAAAGGGGATTCTCATGCTGTTTTACTTGAACTGTTAATGAATGCTTTTAATTAAAGCGGTTATGGAAATATGCCTGAACCTCGGTTGATTATTAAACTGGCTTAACCTTTTCTGGCGTACTAAGATTATTATAGTGTCAATTAAGGCCCGCCTTTGCCAGTTACCTTTCAACCTCCTTACAATTACTCATTCACCTTTTTACCAAAGATTCACGTTAGATTTTGAATGCTACTTTGGAAAGCTGTTATCGAGGTGGTTGTTATTTTTAAGATTCAGCTATTGGGAACAAAAAGTTCCAAGTAGCACGGGCTATGGTGAGCCCGTAATTATCGAGGACCCTGTTAGCCAATATATATACAGTACCATTGATGAGGCGACCCCGGTGGGCCAGGAGAGCGCCACATATGGTCCGAATCCATTGCTTAGGTGACTGGGTCTGGCCCCGGGCCGCACCACCTTAACGAGCAGCCTAGTGTGGCAATCCCCCCCCCCCAACCCCCACTCCCATAACATCTTCACTGAGTTGCACATGCTGCATTATAATTAAGACTATGCAGGTTCATGATAGTAATTATAGTTTTTCAAATATTTTTTCCAAATTGGTATATTCCAATATATATTGGTATATACGGTGAAGGAAAGTCAAGGAAAATTATCTAACATCTCTATGACACATCTGAGTGTCAAGATTCCATCCGTGCCCCCCCCCCCCCCCTTGTAATGTTGATATTCATTGTAAACAATTCCTGTTTCCACTCTGCCAATCCCACTAAGTATTTTATACGTCTGTATCTGGGGGTAGAAATAGCCTAAGCTACTCTATCCCTTTGAGATGTATTTCTTTCTTGTCTCAATAAACGTACTTGAATTTGTACGTCTGTATTGCGCGCGCGTTTTGTGCGTGCGTGTGCGCGTTTGTGCGCGTGTGAGAATGCTTGACATGAATAAATAGTAAACTGCAATTAGCGGTTGATCATTTCTTGCCTCGTGCAGCCATGTTCAATTAATATTTGGCAACTGAAATAAGCCAACTTAGCCTTTGTCACAATAAAACTGCATATATAGTGAATAAACATTATAGAATAACTATTATAAGTTTGTTCATTGTGTTGATCAGCTTAGACGAAGGCAACTCGTGAAAATGTTATACAAACAGGATATATATATTTTTTAAATGCCACAGGAGTGTGTTTGTTGATGCATGTATAAATAGAAATTAAACCAATGGATGGGTGGAAAAATTACCAGCTGTACGTTATCTGGCCAAATTGACTGAGAGTGCTGGAGAGAAACGGTTATCATGGTTGCCATCTTGGACTCTGCCATCAAAAAAAGTTTCTTAATTTTCCCCAGTTCAGTATTTTAAATGATACACAAACGGAGTTTATAAATATGGATTAGGTAGTATACTGCGCGCGTGTAATCAAACTGTAGCCGGCGGATGCAGTCGTGATGTCCACTTGCACAGTTTACAAGCTTCGAAGCTTCGCAATTCAAGGTTATAATTGTTATAGTGAAGCTCTTGCCGCGTTGCAGGTCATAAACTGTTTAGGAAATGAAACGTGTCATAATTGCGGAAAGAGGCACAGGTTTCATTAGGATGCACTTGATTGCTTGACGAGTCATGGCCCAAGTCAGGTGCGGTCGTGATGACCAGGGGCCGCATTCATCAAGCACTTAGGCAAGCACTTACCAATCTGTACATCTTTTCTCAGTGTTTGGCGGCTTTGTTTACATGTATTGAACAGTTTGAGCTTCGAAGCCCCAGGAAGCTGTTTATAACAATAATATTTGATTAGGAAGTTTCGATGCTCGTAAACTGTTAAATAAATACATGTAAACAAAGACGCCAAACATTATGGAAAGATGTAGAGATTTGTAAATAGATTCGTAAATGTTTGTTGAATCCCGGCCCTGGTCGGATGTGGCCTTTGTAACGAGGTTAGGAGTGGACTGAGCCAGGTTGGATATGCTTTACGACCAGACCGGGAGTAACTTTGGCGAATATGTTGTGTGCGGCCAGTGGTACATCTGCCTTCCCTTCTGATGTGTTCGTTCGTCACCACAAAAGAAGCCACCATAAGGCGCGTTTCCGCAACGCTAACTCTTAACACGAGAACGCCACAAGTCTGCCTGGCTCTGCCAGTGTCGGCGATTTCAACGCTGCCTGTTGTTGTAATCTAACCTGCTGGGGGTGGTGGTGGTGTTATAGATTAAGCTACTCGGAACAAGTTCCAAGTAGCACGGGCTATGGTGAGCCAGTAGTGGACTTACCTGGCACAGGAGCGGAGCTGGGGGGTGAACTCCCGCTCCCAAGTGTTGGATGTCGGTCTGGCTGGCGGCTCTAACCCTCGGCAGCTACACGGTGTGGTGTATATTTCACCTGTAACCGTGTTTACCGAGTGTGTGGGTGTTGGTGGGTGGAGTGTGGGCGGTGGACGAGCTTGAGCATGCCAGGTCAGTCATTAACATGCTCAACCACACTCCTCTACCCACGCACATTCCCAGCACACACATACACATCATGACTGTTGGTAGACCACACACTCGTGCATACATCAAGGTACACTGGACGGCGCTTTCGTGCATATATGATGGCTAGTCGCTGGACGAATCGTCGGCATTCTTGCATCCATGATGACAGCCGGCTTGGCGAACACTGCACTAGGCTCCCAGACTTACTGGACCTTGCAAGACGAGTTCTGTTTATACCCAGTTGTTCTTGTTTGTGCATCTGTCCATACTTTTTAACGAGAAAAGCTACTAGACCTCGTGTATTTAATTATCCTCTTTGGCAGTTTGTCCCACGCGTTAAAAATTATAGTGTCAAGGAAAAAATGTTTGGTTTCCGTTCGTGCCTAAATTTTTTTATTGCAGAGTCCAGTGGTATGAGTTTATAGTATTGTTTGATTGTTTCAATTTAGTATTTATGTATTTAGTATTTGTGACATACGAATTAATGTTTGGAGTCGCATCTACCCTATCGACATCTGGAATTAGAATATATCTTCAGGCATGAATACATAATGACCGTACACCAGACCTCGCGCAAAAGGCTAGACAATGAATCACTCACATGGTATACAAACTACTCGACTAACCACTCACACGAAGCAAAGATTACAGCACAAACTAACCACGCGCGATACACCACCACACACAACGTGGACCCCCCCCCCTTCCCCGAGACCACTAGTCTGGACCTAGTCCTAACAGATACCGGCCAGCACTTGACTCCCAAACACAGCATCAACGAAGCCATGATCAAGCAGGGTATGCAACGAGTGTCCTTGTGCATGCTGAGTGTGTCCTTGTGCATGCTGAGTGTGTGTTGAGTGTGTGTGCGTGGTATATGATAAGTCAGAGGAGTATGCTTCAGCGCATTGTTAAAACTGCAACGCAAAATATTCACGTCAGTAATTGATTATGGTTAGGCTAGCTGCCGGTGTGCAGGTGCGTGAAGGGTTAGTTGCCGGCGTGCGGGAATTTAACTTTCTACACTTCGCATCCACTTTCAAGCTGTAGTCTTTAGGTTGAGCTTTATCTCCTGAGCCTCGCCTCTTAATCGGTGCTCGACCCGTCTAGTTGGTCTATAGAACCTTTTATCAAACCAGTTTTATTTTTTTGCCCACTGTCTCGCAAGCTCATTCATTTTATGTGGACGGGAGGAGGGCGGGTGGTGGCTCAAATGGAAATACGTTTATTGACTTGTATATTCACACAAAAGGGATGAGGTAGCTCAAGCTATTCTCACCCCGTTCAACACAACGTTCAGTAGGCTGTGTAATGTACTAAAATGCTCAGAAGACCGCCTTCCTTCGCTTCCTAAATGTTCTTATGTTTGGTTCATGGGCTGGAACTATGGTGATGCACTGTGTACGCGATGGTAGGCCCAGGGGTCATGTCAGTCCCAGGGTGTGTGTGTGTGTGTGTGTGTGTGTGTGTGTGTGTGTGTGTCGGTCGGGCGTGGCAGGGTGTTGGCTGACTTCTCTTCCCACACGCCTCCTCCCACACACGCCTCCCACGTGAGTATCCAGAGAGACAAGAAGTCACCAAGAACCTGTCAAGAGTGTATCTGGTCACTCCTCACGCTTCTGTTGCTCCTTTTGAATAAATTGGTCCCGCGAAAGCTCTTCCTGTGTTGACCCTCCACCCGGCTGGGAGGTGTTTGCGTCGCGTTGTGTGTTGAGTGTGTTGACGCACACGCCAACGTTGCGTCACCCTGGAGTCACGTGTGTGTCAACACCATGAAGCTTTGATCGCACACGTCTCCAGTGAGAGTTGAAGTACGTCACTCAAGCAAGCTAAGCATTGACGTATTTAATTCTAAGCGTATAGACGCCAGGGCGCTGTGTCGCTCACGTGACTCCTGTAAGAGATGGCGTACGTCATTAGAGTGATCGT